TTTTTTTCTGATTTGCTGGACTTGCTGGATTTTGGAATTTTTTTCTGATTTGCTGGACTTTGGATTTTTTTCTGATTTGCTGGATTTTGGAATTTTTTTCTGATTTGTTATATGTTGGAATTTTCTTTGATTTGTTGGATTTTGGAATTTTTTATGATTTGTTGGATGTTGGAATTTTTTATGATTTGTTGGATGTTGGAATTTTTTATGATTTGCTATGTGTTGGAATTTTTTCTAATTTGTTATGTGTTGGAATTTTTTATGATTTGCTATGTGTTGGAATTTTTTATGATTTGCTATGTGTTGCAATTTTTTTCTAATTTGCTATGTGTTGCAATTTTTTCTGTCTTGTTATATGTTGCAATTTTTTATGATTTGCTATGTGTTGGAATTTTTTCTGATTTGCTATGTGTTGCAATTTTTTTCTAATTTGCTATGAGTTGCAATTTTTTCTGTCTTGTTACATATTGCAATTTTTTCTGTCTTGTTACATGTTGCAATTTTTTTCTGTCTTGTTACATATTGTAATTTTTTCTGTCTTGTTACGTTATGCAATTTTATCTATTTTGTTATGTGTTGCAATTTTTTTCTGTCTTGTTACATACTGCAATTTTTTCTGTCTTGTTACATGTTGCAATTTTTTGTCTTGTTACGTTATGCAATTTTATCTATTTTATTATGTGTTGTATGTTTCAAAGAAAACCTCCTACCTTAGTACAAAATGAAACCAAACTTTCCAAATCATCTTTATAAAATGTCTGTGTCCACAAATAAAAATGTCCAACGTTCCCAAAGAATTTTACTCAATTTTGAAAAGAGAATGAATTAGCTCAGAGTCTCCATTGTCCTTGATTACATATTAAACAAGTGCAACAAAGAAGAGTGTTTTACGTGTCAGCTGCCCTCCCCTGAAAGCCGTTTTCCGTGAGCATGAAAAGATGGGCGAGGCGCATACGAGGAAGCTCCGAATAATATGATATACAGGATTGGCTGGATCCCCCGTAGATACGGGAAATACGTGTCGTGGGGTCTGCTAGCTGTAACAACGTGTATCCCCTCGAGAGAGAAAAAAGAGATCTTCATCGTTTCTGTCGAGTGCCAACGGCTCATCCATTTGAGAGGATCATTGTCGATGCGCGATTAAGATCGACGACCCTTTTGCCCGATTAATGGCCATGGATACCCTGTATCCGTTTTTCTTCTCTTCCTTTTGTCGCTTTATGCCGACTGCGAAGTGTTCCATTTTCGAGTCCTGGAAAATACGTTTTGTTAATAACGAACATACGCTATGAACCTCCTTTTTTGTTTATACTTTATGAACCTAACCTATCAAGCTACTTTATGAACTACCCTATGAAGCTCTTTTATGAAGCCTTTTATTTTGTTTATATATTATGAAGCTCCTTTATGAAGTTACCCAATGAAGCTGTTTTATCAAGCTTTTTAATTTATTTTTACAATATGAAGCTATTTTATGAAGCTACCCTATGAAGCTACTTTATGAAGCTTTTCAATTTATTCATACAATATGAGGCTACTCTATAAAGTTAGTTCATGAAGCTTTTTAGTTTATTAATATAATATGAAGCTACCCTATGAAGCAACTCTATGAAGCTTTTCAATTTATTCATTCAATATGAAGCTACCCTATGAAGTTAGTTCATGAAGCTTTTTAGTTTATTAATATAATATGAAGCTACCCTATGAAGCAACTCTATGAAGCTTTTCAATTTATTCATTCAATATGAAGCTACCCTATGAAGTTAGTTCATGAAGCTTTTTAGTTTATTAATATAATATGAAGCTACCCTATGAAGCAACTCTATGAAGCTTTTCAATTTATTCATTCAATATGAAGCTACCCTATGAAGTTAGTTCATGAAGCTTTTTAGTTTATTAATATAATATGAAGCTACCCTATGAAGCAACTCTATGAAGCTTTTCAATTTATTCATTCAATATGAAGCTACCCTATGAAGTTAGTTCATGAAGCTTTTTAGTTTATTAATATAATATGAAGCTACCCTATGAAGCAACTCTATGAAGCTTTTCAATTTATTCATTCAATATGAAGCTACCCTATGAAGTTAGTTCATGAAGCTTTTTAGTTTATTAATATAATATGAAGCTACCCTATGAAGCAACTCTATGAAGCTTTTCAATTTATTCATTCAATATGAAGCTACCCTATGAAGTTAGTTCATGAAGCTTTTTAGTTTATTAATATAATATGAAGCTACCCTATGAAGCAACTCTATGAAGCTTTTCAATTTATTCATTCAATATGAAGCTACCCTATGAAGTTAGTTCATGAAGCTTTTTAGTTTATTAATATAATATGAAGCTACCCTATGAAGCAACTCTATGAAGCTTTTCAATTTATTCATTCAATATGAAGCTACCCTATGAAGTTAGTTCATGAAGCTTTTTAGTTTATTAATATAATATGAAGCTACCCTATGAAGCAACTCTATGAAGCTTTTCAATTTATTCATTCAATATGAAGCTACCCTATGAAGTTAGTTCATGAAGCTTTTTAGTTTATTAATATAATATGAAGCTACCCTATGAAGCAACTCTATGAAGCTTTTCAATTTATTCATTCAATATGAAGCTACCCTATGAAGTTAGTTCATGAAGCTTTTTAGTTTATTAATATAATATGAAGCTACCCTATGAAGCAACTCTATGAAGCTTTTCAATTTATTCATTCAATATGAAGCTACCCTATGAAGTTAGTTCATGAAGCTTTTTAGTTTATTAATATAATATGAAGCTACCCTATGAAGCAACTCTATGAAGCTTTTCAATTTATTAATATAATATGAAGCTACCCTATGAAGCTACTCTATGAAGCTTTTCAATTTATTCATACAATATGAGGCTACTCTATGAAGTTAGTTCATGAAGCTATTTAGTTTATTAATACAATGTGAAGCTACCCTATGAAGCTACTCTATGAAGCTTTTTAATTTATTCATACAATATGAAGCTACACTATGAAGTTAGTTTATGAAGCTTTTTAGTTTATTAATATAATATGAAGCTACCCTATGAAGCTTCTTTATGAAGCTTTTCAATTTATTCATACAATATGAGGCTACTCTATAAAGTTAGTTTATGGAAGCTTTTTAGTT